ATTTAACTAATGGGAACCCTGTCACGTCATGTTTTCACTGATTAAGAACGAGTTGAATAGAAAATACAAGAACAAAATGTTTCACTGGATTTTGATGTCACTTACTCGGCAAAAATAAATTCTGAGAGAAAATAGGGCACTTTACATTTCTTGGTTAATGCATTAATCTTTGTACGAGATGCATCAAATATAGCAGTGATTATAGCACGTATCGGTCAGTCCCAAGTTATCTATCAGCATAAGTACTGTGGCCGTTCACTACATTTCTTATCTGACAGTGATATGTGCCGTAATAATACACCAGTGCTTTGGTTTTATTTTCTGTTATTTTGGATTCCACCAGAAATAGGACTCTTTAATACTTCTAACATTGACAGAGAATCACATGACAGAGGTGGCGGCACCAAGTCTTGTATGAGGGTGCGAGATCTGAAATCTAGACACTCTGAAACGCTATTTCCTGCATTTTGAGGGGACAATTTTGCTGACGCAAAAGGATTCAACTTGATTGGGGTGGGTGTGCGACGCCCCCAAAACTTTTTAATATCAAAATTCACCAAGGCAAACAAGTTGGACATCAAAGAAATTTTCTCTGTGAAGCTCAAGCCCTGCTGATTGGATACTATATACGGGGTAATATATTTTAGAGAGCATTGTTTTTTGCTGAAAAGACTTTTTTAGTGTTTATATTCACTGTCCTTAACAAGTTGAGAAAAAAAAATAATTAATAACTGTAAAATACTACTATCACTGGACTCATCTCTTCAGCAAAAATAGTGAAAATAAATTAAAAGCAAAAATAAAAGTATTTTACAGCAAGTAGAAATGTATGTATGCAATAAATAAAAACAGTCAAACATTGTTGAATGTGAAAAACATTTTAAATCTTTGATATAAATTACAAAATAGAGACCACATATAAGTTATTAGAAAAACAAAATCTCAAATTGTAAAACTTAATTACAAGATACAGCCAAGTAATCACTGAGGGCAAAGACTTGTACTAGTATGTCCATATAATGGTCAAAATATTATGCAGCATATAGGCACTCAAGAAGGTAATCTCATCTTTGAATATATACATAAAAACACATCCTATCATTTTTTTTTACTAAAACTGGCATTTAAAACAATGGTGCATTGATGTGCAACTCCACAAAACATGGTGCGGAATTTTTGAAACCAATTTCCAATGCCGTTTTAACAAACGTACGTATAAACGTATTCAACTATCGGTAAATAAATTGGTTCATAATATACGATTAAATCATAGACTCTGGAAGGCATGGGTATGTAAAGGTAGCAAAGATTTAAGGAAAGATAGTTGCACTGCAGGTTGTCTGTTACATGCCCGACAGCAGTTGAGAATCCAGGTTTATTCTGTAATCTACAACAGTCCCTCCTCTTGAGGGACTGTGTCTACGATCAACTCTTTGAACAACCCCCACCCCTGCATACATTTTAGTGCAACTACATGTTGGTGCATCTTGATCTAAATTTTTGAAAAAATTATTAGGTTTATTTTGGTGGGGGTAAAAAAAAACTGTAAAGTTGTTGCACCAATTATGTAGTTTCAGATATTTTTGAACACATTGTACTCTATAAAAGAATGAATAACATTTTAGGAGTGATCAAAGTGGTAACTGTAGAACAGGGTATATACATGTATCATATATAGACTGTTCATATATAGAATATAGACTGTTCCAAACACCAGGTTGCTTAGGGACGACGTCAAAAGATTGATGTCGGATAAAAAACTTATTTCCTTTAGTTTGGGGGTGGGGGGTTTTGACCTCAAAAAGTTTTCATCCTACAAAAACGATTTTATTTTTTAATGAAGTTAAAATAATCTTGGAGTATTTGTAGTTCGTTTTTTTTCTATCCAATCGTGGACAGAAATAACCGAAAAAGGAAAAAAACACAGAAAAATGGTTTGTTTCGAGTGTAAACCTGTGCGTCAATTGAGGTGCATTTGTATAAAAATCTTTTTACACCCACCCGACAACCAACTGCTATGCAATACTACTGTCCGATTATCAATTTGTATTTAATGGTGAATGTAGTCTGATGCCATGATCAATATTTATCAATTAAGTTTCAGTGGGGGGTAGGGGGGTTTGGAAAAAAAACTAAAGGAATTAAGTTTTTTATCTGACATCGATCTTTTGACGTCGTCCCTTAGTTCAAGGAACAGTGGATGTAACGAGAGGGAATGTAGACTTTAGCTGGAACAGGTAAATTAACAAGGTGAATAAAGATATCAATTTTTGACTAACTGACCAAATGGAGTAGTGCCAAGTTGCTAATGTCCAGTAAATGTCTTTCAGAATTTCAAAACTTTATAAAATGAGCCAAGAATGTAAATTTTGTTTTGAATAATACACTTAAATTCATCTTGCGAGAGACTGGTACATCATTAAATGGGACTTATTTGACTACATGTCCAACAGACAACTTTAATTTCAACATCTGAAGTCTCGTGGCTCTCAACGAGACTTTGGCAGTTATTTGTGTTCAAGGTTTAATTCAGTAGCAATCATGGGATAATCCAGACTCAACCACAAATACAGTGAAAATTATATATGTTACAAGTACAGTCTGCCATGCTGTGTATCATATTTTAGTGGATTTAAAAGACAGACTTGTATTTGATGCAAATATCTTCTGATTTTTTTTCTTGTAATGTAGTTAGTGGAGATATTGAAAAAATTACTGCACAGGAGAATATACAATGGAATGTCCATTACATTAATCACATCAATAGGTATGTTTTATTTTATTGCCTGGGACAGAACAGACTGTCCATACTTGTGCACAATATGTGTAAATATGGACTTAATACCACTGTTTTGGCCCAATTAGACAGACATGCAAATTTTAAGTGATATTTTCCATATTATGGAAACATTGGATTATTCCCAAATAAAAAAATTCCAAATAGTTATCCTGTATTTTCATATTCATGTGTAAAGACAATTACAAGATATTTCAACAAAAAATAAAACAAATGTTTGTCATGAGTGTGCTAGCAATTTGCCATACAAAGTTGCAAATAGACATTATTTGCTTATATGAAGTTTTATAGTGATGAAATTCATTCAAAATCATTTTTCAATAACAATCATTTTTGAATATTTCAAAGTTTACTGTTTAAAAATATTCTTCTGTCACAGAGTGGATTAACCACTAGAACATAGCATTCTAAACAATCAGGTTGAGATTAGTTATACCATGAACTGATGTTAAAAGAGGTCATTTTAGAAGGCAAATTGGACGGGATGCAATTTGCGTTATTATAATTAAATATCACCTCTTTGTCAAACTAGACAGGTATTTTTATTTGTACATGCGACTGCTGAAAATACATGTCAATCGCAGGTTTATGCAAATACAAGGTGTTAGTCTTGAGTTGATTGTTCAATCTCTTGGTATGTTTATGTTATTATAGAGCTAATAAATGATATGTTGTTAGCTGTTTGGTCGTCCACTTCATGGGTGTCAATTGACACTCAACCAACCCGAGCGAGTGCAGATGGCATGGGATGGAGGAGTGTATGAGGGGGAATGTTGACCGCAAAAGTGGTCTGGCCATGCATTTAGTGAGAAATGTTGAAATAGAAACAACTTGGTCTCAATGCACAATAATAATAATAACACTGGTCGTTATAAAAGGAATATGCATTGCTGTTAAACAAAACACTGTCTTATATCATGTAAACATTCCAATGTACGCAAAGACATTCATGGTTACAATGAGTCGATTCTTATTTTTTCAGCGGCAACAGAGGTGTATTAGGTCTTGAGAGGCGGGATTATAATTCAGTTACGAGTTGTAATGAAAAGACGAACCAAGCTGTTGGTACTGACCTATATTAGTTCATTGACGGATGTGATGGACCTGATTGACATTGGGTGGTAATAACATGATAATAGCGGGTTCATTCAGGGGGTGGGGGGGGGGGTTATGGCTTCTCATGCACTCGTGCGTGTCAGTCATCCCAGTTGTCCAAAACAAAATGTCCTAACAATAAGTCGATTGAATTTAATATACAACGTTCCTGACAATTTAGAAAGTCAAATGTCTCGAAATAAATAAATTGCAAAGATCTCTAAAAAAAAAAAAAAAGCTCTCGAAATATATCGGCACAGTGAAATAATTAGTGTCTGACAACATTCTGTACTCTATAAAAATGTTTTTTTTTATTCATGTCAGAGTTCTAGACTTTTTTGTAACATACAAGTCACGAATATACCGGTATTTGCGTCTATTGTGACACCGGACAAGTGGGTATATACCTGTGCCACACAGCCATATCACAAATTTTTTTTTTAATTTGTCTGTGGCCTTTTTTTTTTTTTACATTGCATAAAGTCATTATTGCCTACCCATTTATGTCAAACATTAATGATAACTACTTTGTGTCGGTTATTCAAATTATATACTGTAAAATACTTTATTTTAGCTGTAATTAATTTTCGCTGAAAAGACTTAGTGTTTCGTATGGAATTTATTTTCACTGATTTTTGACTAGTTGAATGTAAAATACAGGAAAAAAGGTATATTCACTGGATTTTACTTTCACTGAATCATTCCTTCAGTGAAAATTAATTCCAACGGAAAATAAAATATTTTATAGTACCACAATTATTTATGATGATGATTGTTTTGAGCAAGCATGGAACTAAATAAGGACTCCATGGCAATGACCTTTGTTTTATTTTGTATGTTTGATTTAACGTTTAAAGCACGACCTCATAGTGAATGGAAAATTAACTATTACAGAAATCACCATTTGTGTAATTTTTTCTCTTGATGGCGTATTATGCCAGTTTACAAAAAATGTATTAAGTGACTTTGTCTGGCAAATTGCATGGAAGCAGCACAAGTAATGGATGATATTATGTCAATTTGAAAATACAAATCATTTGAATTGTAAATAATGGCTTTGTACATTTTTTGACAAAATGCCAAGTACTTCATCAGTGTTGTTGCGAGTCCGTCATCACCTATCATAGTGATCAAATCACCAATATTTCACCAACAGCAGCAAAGTGTCTTTCCACACAAGACCAGTATATCCACAGATTACTATTTAAATAGTTATATCAGTGTTTTGAAATACTTTTTCTAATCTCTCTCTCTATCTGAATCTTCTACAACTTCTTCTGGTGGTTCCGTTGGTTCTGATACTGTAATGGTTGTTGTAAGTGTGGGAGATTCACCAAGAAGTGCCGCATTCTGCCCACATGAATTCTGGTGTGTGGCCCAATCTTTGCGTTGACAGAAACTACTGCAATAGCTCACACGATGACAACCAGTACACTCACTCAATGCTTCGCGTCCACAGTTTACACATGTCTGCAGAGAAAGAGGGGAAACATGTTATTAAGATAAAGATCAAGATGTTTCATAAATAAAAGTTTCACAAAGTTTGCATTTTGCTATATTTCTGGTCAACTGCAAGATCCTGACGTGTACCAAACGTCTGCCGCAGAAATCAAACGATTTAATTTTAAACTTGAATTTCTTTATTTCGTAGCTCACATTGAAAGGCCAATCTTTGACAGGGAAATATTGCGTCTCAAGACCCCTATTTTGCTAAGATAAACTTTTTGGTGAATCAAACAAATCACTGAAAAGTTACAGCAAAGTAACGTAGTTTGGGTTTCAAAATCTTCCACCTATATAATGATTATAAATAGTTGACCCTTATGAGAATAACACAAAGTATTGTGATCAGAGGTCAGTGCAAATCTGTCCATCAGTACATGGAAGGTACTAATGGAAGGAGTCACGACGCCTCTGAAGTGGCTACTGGTACTTAAGCTTCACAGGCACAAGTAGTGAGTTAGCGGAATATGATACAACCCCGCCGATTTTAAATACGACCATAAAATATATGCACATTATGAAACTACGGTCATCACACATGCGCACTGGGTTTGTTTAGGTGTGAAAGGTCAAAATACACACAACCGGAAATTCAACAGATGAACGTTTGACTTCACAGATTTCACATGTTTTAATTATTAGCAACTGTAACAAGAACAATATTTCGAAAAAAATTCTTAAGAAAAGTTTCTTGGCATGCTCTTCTTTTGATATTATCTTTTCTGGTGGTGTTCGCTGATGCCTGGTGGTCAAAAATTTTGATAGTTTCGGGCGTCAAACCCACGCACTGACAATGGTACCATTGAATAATGCAATCATTATTGTCACCATTACAAATACAAAGATTCACTATAGTTCTTCAGTTCTTCTCCAATCGATGTTATATCTGTCAATTTGTCATTAAAGTTCGCCAAGATCTCCAGAAACAACAGCATTCAAACTAGACGCCATTTTCAGTATTGTACATGCGAGGTTCGTCTATCGCTTTCGAACATGCTCCGAATATTACCGAATGCTCAAGATTAGCGTAACCCATTGTACGAAGGTGCTAAGAGCTAACAAGAACTAATGTTTGTGAACAAACATTGACAAACGATCAAAGGGTAAAGCTAAAACAATAGCGTCTTGGCTCCTTCCGTTAGTACCATTCATGATCAGTATAACCCTAACAAGACTAAATAAACAACGTCACTTACTTTTATAAGTTGCTCTGATTTTGCTTGCTCTACAGCTTCCAGTTTATCTGCTCTTGCTTGAGCTAATGCTTGGGCCACAGCAGTATCTTTCTCAGCCCTTGCCTCCATTAATGCCCTTGATAGCTGCATTTGAGCCTCTATACGGGCCTGTGTTAATGCCTGCAAGCAGAGAAATTCATACAATAATTACATTTTACAATAAAAATTTGAGGAAATTGTCAATACTAAAGGCACACCATCGGCTCCATGGGCTACTATGTATGGTGTTGATGTAGGAAGGGGCTTCTGTAAGTTTAAAATCAACAAAGATGCTGCCGTTGTTTATTTTAGTGAGTATAAACATAATTAAGAATCAAATAAAGCTGAGAAAGAACTCCACGTGCTAAGAGTATTAGAGACACATTAAAAATATTTCTATGGAAAAGCTGAAAACTAATTATGCAAATCAGATTTGAGTGTATTAAAAACTTATGAGGTCTGCGCAATGTAACAAATCATCTATGTACCATGTTTCATTGAAATGTGATTAGAACCACAAAATTATGAATTATAATGCTAATTAGGTAATTAATATTAACAGATATTAACTCTAAAATAATCAGGTTTGTACATTGTACAGAGCATCTTTGTACTAAGTTTCATTGAAATGGAATAATTTGTACTTTAGATATCAGTGTGATAGCCTAAAATTGGTTAGGTAATAAATATGTACAGATTTTAACCTACAATTAATTAGGTCTGTCTATTGTCCTACAACATCCAAGTACAACGTTTCATTTGAATGTGATGATTAGTACTTGAGATATCAGGGTGAAAGTTGAAAAATGGTTAATTATGCAAATTAGGTGATTAATATGCACAAGTATTTACCAAAAACTAATTGGGTCTCTGCATAGTCTTTGAGTATCTATGTACCAAGTTTCATTGAAATGTAACGCTTACTACTTAAAATATCAAAAGCTGACAATTAATTAATTATGCAAATTAGGTAATTAATATGTACAGATATTACCCTGAAACTATCAGGTCTGTGCAGTGTCCTATGACATCTATGTACCGAGTTTCATTGAAATGTTATGTTTACTACTTGAGATATCAGTGAAAAAAAAAACGAAAATTGACTAATTATGCAAATTAGGTAATTAATATCCACAGATTTTTACCCAAAACTAAACACATCTGCGCATTAGTTCAGAGCATCTATGTACCAAGTTTCATCAAAATCCAATGAGTGGTTCTTTAGATATCAGTGGAACAGTCATGGAACAGTTAAAAATTAGCTAATTATCATGCAAATTAGGTAATTAATATGTGCAGATTTTTACCAAAAACTTATCAAATCTGCACATTGGCCCAGAGCATCTGCGCACCAAGTTTCATCAAAAACCGATGTATGGTTCTTGAGATAGCAGTAGAACAGCCGAACACACATACACACACACTAACTGCAAAGACTCCCATTGTGTGCTTCACGCATGGGAGTCAAAAACAAGAATGGAATTTGAATAAACCAGAGATAAAATACTTCAGACTGTGCTAACGCTTAGCAAGGGCCAAGACAGCATTGATTAAATCTAGCCAGTTTTTAAGACCTGGTCCAGATCTTTGACATGGGCTAACATAGTATGCAGCTAAAATGCTATTGTATTCAATGTTCATTTGGAAGATTTACTATTGTATTTTACGCTTAATTGGTATATTAAATGAAAATTACCAAATTGCATAATTATAATATGATGTTAACTACTGTAAAATACTTTATTTTAGTTTGGAAATTATTTTCACTAATTTCGCTGTGAAGTGATGACTCAGTGAAAATAAAATCCAGCAAATATACTTTTTTTATATATTTTACATTTAACTCATCAAAAATCAGTGCAAATAAATAGCATACAAAACAACCAAATAGTCTTTTCAGTGAAAATTAATTCTAGCTACAATAAAGTATTTTACAGTATATCAATGCATGGTTTTCTGTTGTGTCGCTGGTGTGCCAGCAAATAAACATAACTAGTTGCATGACATAAAATCTGTGCATCAATAACATGTCATACTGTCGCTGATGTGTCAACGAATAAACATAACTACCTACGATAGTTGCATGACATAAAATCTGTGCATCAATAACTTGAAGTGCAGACTGGTGATAGTTATACTTGCCTCTTTTTTTTCCGTTTCATACTGTAACTTAGTTTGTGCGACTGCTGAATCTTTAGCTGCTAGTGATTGGTTTTTAGCTTGTTCAACCATGGATTTTAACTGCTGTGCTTGTTGTAATAAAGAATTTGCCATCTATAGTAGTGAAAGAAATGTACACAAATAAGTTCACACTGGTCAGATTACATAACTGTCAACATATCCCCATACATTACAGCACGTCATAATTTCGTCAAATAGCATGGGTTGTCTGCATCATATCATATTAGGAATGCAAAGTCAAAATATGGAACATTCATTCAATACTTCAAAGGTGGCCGACATGTTTGAAAATTAAGTTCACAATGAGATCTTTGTCAGCTTGTTTAGTTCTGGGCTCACTCACAAAGCAGATTGCAATGCTATAGCAGATTATTATGAAAATATTGCAAAGTATGCATTCAGACACTACACGGTCCCATCGCCCTCCACTATGTGTCAGTCAAAACTTTTGCTGTACTGTTTTCACTTAATAATCCCAAATAAAGCACAATTTTCTTCATCATAAAAATATTGCATATTACAATTTGCAATTTAATGGAGATGTGCTTATATATGACAATATTTTAATCAACAAAAAAACAATCAAAGGGATTATTGAACAAAATGTCATGTTCACGTTTAAATTTTGTGCCCCAAATAATAATAATAATAATAATAATAATAAAGATAATTTATTGCATCCTTAGAAATACAGTGTTTCCATCAGTTTATAGCAACAAAAGTAAGATATTAAAAAAACAAAATAACAAAATAACTATAGCAAATAATAAATGATAGATTTTAGTGTTTTTGTTAAGTATCTTTCTCGTTTCTCATTAAGAACGAGCTGTGTATAAATTCTCCAACAAGTTTGATTACATTTGTGTTAGAATTTTTCATTAAGTATGTAAATTTCTGTTGGTCAGTTTTTGTTTCATCAGGAAACTGTATATTTGAGAATAAATCCATTCGCAGTGTGCTTATCATTAGATATCAGTTGAGTAAGAAGATGATGTGGTAACTAAATAATAACAAAAAATTAAATAATTTGATGTCTGATGATAGCAATGGTCAAACGTACGTGTCATGTTTGAACAAAATCTGTCCAACAACCAAGATTGGATTAAGGAATCTTAAATACTGGATTTTGCGCTTTTTTTAGCTTTGAAATGGCCGCCATTCAGCAATCTTGAATTGGATTACGAAATATTATGAAAGTTTGAACATGATCCATCCAGACACATCTGAGATAGGTGTGAACTACCAAGCGGACCCACTTAGTCCATGTTTTTGTTTGGTGCTGTAAATAATTGAATATATAAAATACCTCTTCTAGATGCCACCATGACTGATCTGTTTCTGATGGTTTAGGAGGGGATGGAGCCATTGGAGGTAGTACGGTGGTGGTTTCTGTTACTGTAATCTCACCATTTCGTTCTTCAACACTGAATGATCCTAAAAATACAATAGAGATATACTGCATCTGAGAATGTCTTCATTTGGCCACACAGTTTTACTATACAAAGGGCATAATTACATGTCAGCGTAGTCTGGGTTAGTGCTGGACAATCACACTGCAATTCTTTGTTACAACACAGGGCAAAAATAAATAGTAATTTTTGTATGGCTAAAATTGTTATTATTATAGTTACTTTGAACATAACTAAGACTCTGATTTGGACTTCTGGATAAACATGGACCTGTCAGCATTTTCACAATCTTACATGTAAACTGAGCAGCGTTATTCTACATGAATTAATTTGAAATTAGTATTGTAAAATCTGTATTAAAAGCCGCTGCTTCTATTAAAATGGTACAAAGCAACAGAAGGGATGCGGCTTCAATTAGAGCATCTACACATATGAGAAATGTTGAGTTTTTGAGTCTCAATTGTTCAAAAAGAATGTGTGCGGCTTCTATTAAAGATGTAGCTTTTAATATAGATTTTACGGTAACATTAATTATAAGAATGAGTTGAAATCATTGATAACAATGATACACACATTTCACAAATTATAACTTTTAATGAAAAGGGAAAGTTTGCTTGTTGGTTAACACTTTCGTTACACTGTGCCTGTACTGTACATGTAACCATGTCTTAACATACATTCCATGAAGACAGCAACAATATACACCTTTTTGTCTGATCATGAAGGCAACGACATACATATTTCTCCTAAGGATCTTAAGCTCACCCTTAAAACACGTTTTTTTGGATGACCCCATTCCAATTAATTTAATTGACAGATTTCTTACTTTCTTTTGATTTCACAGAGGCACTTCTAGCAGTCTTCCTTGGTGGAGTAGGACCACCACTTTCGCTCTCTCCTCGTTTCCTTCTTTTATAAGGCACAAACAACCTCACAGGACCCGACTACAATAAAACAACATTCGTTATTAATAATTCAAAAAATCATCTCAAAGAGAAGGAGAGAGGAGATTCTTGTTCCAATTAACCATGATGCATTTTGGATTAACTTGTTAAAAACAGTACTTGAAACAAGAAACTAAACTCATTATATACAAGTTTTTCAAAATTTCAAAGAATTATTAAAAAGTGGGGCAAGCAATATAGCACTTGTGTAGTGTTTGAAGCTAAGGCGGTCTAATGGATACAAGGCCTATACTTTACGGTAAAGCCGACAAGTTTAAAAACATACTGGCACTGCAAGCCTGCACCCCGACAGTAAAAATGATAGAAGCTAAAATGTTTAATCTGCCAAACATTTATGGCGACAAACTTTATATTAATAAGCATGCATTTTTCTTGTTCATATATTTTGCCTTTAGGCCAACAACATTCAAAAAGGACAACATTTTTTTCAGCCTGCAGGTCCTGTAAGCCACAAATCTTTTGACATTAGTTGCAAACACTGCACTCTGAGGAACTTAGAGTCCTGTATATACTCAAGAATACTGGCAATGGAAAATCAATTATATAACTGACAAATTTAGGTTGATAAAATGCATCATGGTTAACTGTTAAAGAAAAAATCCATGTGTTGCCATGGAAACAATAGGTTACAAAATAATAGAAAGATTGGAGGATCAAAATTGTGTTTGTAAAACTAAGAAAAATTGTATGAATTAAATTATAAATAAAGAATGAAATTAAAACACTGAAGAATATGAGTGGGTGTCTGAAAAGCCTTAGCAACCTACTACTTCAAACATCTAGGTTTAGTTGAGTCAAATTTGCCAGTAGGAAATCCTACCCTCAGTGAAACTTTGAAGTTGTTTAGTAAGCCAGCACAGTGTTTAATATTGTTAGCTACCATACATTGGCTCATTTTAGAAGGAGCGATTGTTAGAGGCCAACTGTCAGAAAGATCCTTACTGGGAAATTAGGCCAAAAAAAAACACCTTATGTTTCCCTCAAGTCGGAAAATTTGAATTTTTTTTTTTTAAACTAGTGAAAACTAAGGGTATCGCAACTAGCCGAGGTATATTGACTTCATAGTATTCAGAGAAATATAGATCAACCCGAGGTTCAAAGTCGCTACTTAACCCCCCGGGGACCCTGGGGATCAAACAACGGTCCGGGATCGTTAATTTTTAGAGGAATGGTGAGTTTTTAATATTTGGGCCTATCAAAAAAAAAAAAAAAAAAAAAGTACGCGACCCGATATTTCATATTTTTCTGTTGTTCGCTGAGGGCAACTAGTTTTGTGAATATTATGTGTTGACATTTCAATTTATTAACAAATAACGGTACTACTACTTTGGTATAATGTTGGAAGCCAGGTTGTATAAAAACTGGGATTGGCATCTGCCATTTCAGCGACACAAAGCAACCAATGACTCCTTCAAAGAAATTGACAGCAAATAGAAATTGACAAGTAGCAGTACTTCTGCAAACATGAGCAGTGTTACATTTAAGGGTATGTTAGAGTAGCGGGCAGCATTTTTGGACACCCATACATATTTCACCTTTTACCACAAAAGCAGGGTTTTCACAAGCGTATAGGCAGCCAGAGGTCAAGAGTATGAGGCCTACGTAGACAACATTTCCCTACATGCACAAATCAAACAAGGTATGCCAGTTGGTCTATGCAGAATAAGTTGACAATTATCGGGCAGAATCATAACCAATCTATCTGGTCAATCTGCTGTCATTTTTTGTAATTAAAATAACAAATACAACCAAATATTTAGTTAAGCACTCATTTTTGTGCGAAAAGTTCGGTGGGACAGTTAAATTGAAACGATTGTTTTAAAAGGTTCACACAATTGTTACCTCTACCCCTATAGCTTGAGGCTAGCATTAGAAGTATAGTAAATTAAAAATACCCAACGTGAAATTGTCTAATACTTATGGCGAGTTAACCAAATGTAAAAGATTACTTCGGATGGAAACTGCAGCACATTACGTGTGCACATGCAATCAATGTCTTTTAGATACGAGTCCACAAAAACATGAAGTGACTGAAATAACTGCCATGAGAGAAAACCACGAGTTGGTTACCCACAACGAGTGATTTGAACTGCATATCCATTATAATACATGTATTTTCATAAAATTGCATTTGGCATATTGTTGAAACCCTGCAAATGATCTTAGATCTAGTGTATCTCAAAAAATGAAAAATACGCACATGATGGTAAGTTTGCACTCCTACTTGATTACATGTATTCTGAAAAATAAATGCCAATTTGGCAAAGGTGGATGTGATGAATGTGCAAAGGAATCAAGCATAAATAGTACCCTCTAGAGTAATAATGGCCCTCCAGTGGTGGTTTTCTCAACATTAGTACGGGAATTACTCAATATATCATTGATAACTGAGAAGCTTTCTAAAGTTGCATCCCAACTTTGTATGATCTGTAGAATACCTCTCACTGACTCTTGTAAACAACATGATTTTCGCACAGTTCATGAATAATCTTATCCAACAAAATCCGGAAATCAAATTGTTAAGTACATCTTAGCTTCAGTGTTCTGATTTTTCAGTATTTGTTACCATAGCGACCGATTTTATCAGTTTTTATATAGTCACAATAATCCGCAAGAGGTATTCTGGATATAACAAAAAGTAGAAATGCAACTTAAAAACACATTACAATGCAAAGCATTATCATGGGTTGAGTAAATGCGACCAATAAAATTGCAATATGTATTTTGTTGTTTTTTCAGTATTGCAGAACTCAAAACTATGGGTTAGCTTCTAAACAATAACATTGCTACATGTACGAGGAATAATAGATGACAAAATTCTCAATTTTCCTTTTTTTTCAGCTTATTTATCGCCAGTAAAACAGAGTACATGTATTTTAAAGTTGCACAATCATTTCTTGGGTTTTATTGCCATCTTGGGACTACTAGTCTAAATTTCAAGTATTTGGGAAATATATTCTAAACTTGTTCTAATTATACAAGGCCTCATTTTTTTTAAATTGCCAAGTTAGTCTGATTTTTTAAAAAATCAACATGTATTGGAACAATATTGTGTACAACATTTAGATTTAGAAAATGACAAGTTGAATAGAACACTGCATGCATTACTGGAAAGATTTTCAGTGAATTCAAAGATTTAACTATCATTTCAGTTTTCTGTTTGATTTGTTTTATTCAAATTTAATTTGCTAACATTTTTAAATAGTATCCTGATGTGATGGATTGACAAAATGCAATAGTATTTCAGTATATCATATATGAGTCTCATGATCCCAATAAAGCAAAACTAATGGGAAGGATTTCAGAGTGCATCTTTAAAACAGGTACATGTACCTGTGTCAACATATTGAAACAAATATAATAGTCTTTTGTATTCTCAATTACAGGATAACTAAATAGGTAAGTTTTTCCTGGAGAAATAAAAATAATTTTGATTTCTGCTTGTGTGTTGTAGCAAGAAGCGTAATTCTGTTAAAAATGTGTTGGTCAAATACTATGTTTAAAATCTCAAACTGACATTAACTTTTGTGTACAACTTACAATGAATGCATGAAATTTTATCATTTCTTCA